TCAATAGACGTTTTGACTCCGATCGGGTCATTCTCAATATTAATGAGCTTTATATTAATTCTAAGTATTTTAAAAAACTATTAAAAACTAAAACAATAACTTAAACTTTAAACTATTAAACATATATGTACAGAGAAAAGAAAATCAACAAAAATAATTGAAAAATAAAAAATAATCGATTTAACTTATAACATTAGGTTACATTGGTCGCGCGCGTTCAGCAGATTCAACAGTTTTACAACTGTTTTATGATTTTTTGCTGGGATAGAACTATTTCTTTCGATCTAAAAATATAATCCAATCAGCGAGACGAATCATAAAACGGTTGCAAAACTGTTGAGTCTGCTGAACGCAGCTATTATAAGCTTCTCTCTCTCTCTCTCCCCCCCCTCTTCTCTCCCCCCTCTCTCTATGCTTTGCGTGACAAAGTGGAATACACAGACACAAGTAAATGAGCGCACTTACCTTCAAAGTATAGCTTGCATTCGATTTCAACCTTCATGCATTGTAAATTTCTATATTTATCACTTTTTCATCTTTATTAGTTTTACTTATAGAAAAAAGATAAGATAAAACTAGCGCATGAGCGTCAAAACCAAATACAGCTATAGGTACCATAGTATATATACATAGATTAAATCCTGTTTAAATTTAAAAAAAACATAATAAATATTTATATATATTCCAAATGATTTCGAGATATAACTGTATTAAAATTGTAAATATTTAATTCAAATATCGTTTACAATAATCTTGCAATATAATAAATGCATTAATAGAACATAAAATAAAATTCAATATTATTAAAATATATTAAATTATAATATCAACAGTTTCAAGTAAAAAAGATAGTAGTTTGTTTACTATACATATATCACATACCATACCCAAACTACGTTCGAGGAAACGTTATCAGCGTTATTCTACCTTCATCATCCATTAGATGTACAACAAAGATAACGTTGATAGCATAGAATCCTATAAGAACTCAGATGGAGCGCTCCGCGGCCTATTTAGCAAGTAATGTTCTTTTTCTCTTAATATTATCAATGTCTTTACATTCTCCATATTTTATGTTAAATAATTTACAAACTATAAATTAAGTACTACATTATATCATCAATGTATATTAGTTTGAGACTGGTTTGAAAAGGAATTTCTATCAATTGCATTTGGAGATTCCATGAAACCTTCATCATCATCGTTATGTAACGTATCGAAAACTAAAACAATTTTCACATTCACATGATTAAACATTGATTTATAATTATTGTCACTAAGATGCAAACAAATGCATTCTAAACATACCCGTAGTACGAGAGAATGGTTTGATGTATAAAATCATCAGTAAAGCAAATATCGCGGATACTCCACAGACATATGTAAGAATGTTTCTGTAATAATAACCAGCATAACCAGACGAAAAGTGTCTGAAAGAGAAACATAGTTAAAGCAGTGTTTCTTTCAATCTACAACTTTTGAAGTAATAAAAAATTTAATTCAAGGTTTTTTATGTATTAAATATATTCTTACTAACTTTACTAAATACTGAATCAACATAACCACCAGACCGTTACTAAGCTTATCTGTAAAGCTCATAATTCCATAGGCAAAGGCACCACTCTCGGTATTTTTTCCTATTAGATCGGAAGTAACACCAAGACTAGTTACTAACATTATTGCACCAGCAGAACCTGCAACATTGCAAATTAAATTAGTTAGGCATTCTTAGGCTTCTTAAATTTAAGAAAAACTTTATATTTACATTATATCTAATTAAAAATTCTACATAAGTTACCTAGTAGCACAGCTACAAAATAGATTTGATATTTAACATATGTGTCGCCATTACCAAATTGTATCCAAATACAGGCGCATATCGCAAATAAAGCACCAATAGAATATGCGACTTTTCGACCCCATTTTGTATTGAGCCTCTCTATGATTAAAGACATCAAAAAACTACTTAGATACATTGTCAATGGTATATAAGCCAGAGATGTCGCAGGCATATTCAATGATTCATGTAAGTATAGAGGCATATAAATTTGGCATAAATTAATAAATAGACGTGTAAGCATATAGATCCACGCTACTTGATACATTCTGATGTCTTTCAATAATACTGATGCTGTTCTAGCATTCCTATGCATAAAGCTACCTAAAAAGATATTATCAAATATTTACTTTTATATACTATATACCATACATATATGCACATGTGACATGTATATACAGGGTGAATCAGAGTCGTTGAACAAACTGTTTATATATATCATATGAGAAAATTATAATATAATAATAAGATATGCAGATAATTAGATATGCAGTTGATAACTTTCTCATATGGTAAAAAGCTGGTTCAACGACTCTGATTCATCCTGTACACATGTACATATAATTTTTTTTTTAAATTATACTTTATTTTTATTACCATTAGCATTGCCATTAGGACTTTCTTTAATAACAACGTGAAATATAATGGATGCTACTAATCCAGTTACTGTGCCAATTAAAACAACTTTCTGAAATTTGTGAATGTCATTAGGTCCAATTTGATTATCATATTCGTCACTTGTTACATGTAGTACACCCCACATAATGCAGTAAACAAGAACATTGGAGAGGACAGTAAATGTGAACCTATTTAATATTGCAAATATACAATGTTATCTTCATTAAATAAATGTTGCTATTTTTCTTGAATGAACTCTTCTATTATTACCTTATAGCTATAAGTTCAGTTCTTTCGTGTTCAGCAGGCGTAAGCTCTGGGACTAAGGCCAAATGTGATATTTGTACTGCTGCCCAACCAAATTGGAAAATTACTACAAAAGCAGCATAATAAACTAGTTGTGCATATTGATGTGCACTTTCACAGCCTATACATTGCGAGAATATGAAAGGAAATCCAAATAGTACACAAATAGTGCCTGCAAAGTAAATAATAATTATTACAATATTACAAAACAAAAGCATATCTAGATAGTCAATTCTGTCAAAAATAAATTTTGTAAAATGTTAATATATAGATGCAGTCAATGCTAACATCCTGCTTGCTCTTTCTAGCAAACTACTAGCTTACTATCAACAGTTTGATATAAGCTACATAAAATAATAACAAAACTAGACGAGATAAAGGTTTTAGATAATAACAAATTTAAAAGTAATACCTAACAAGTGCCAGGTTTTTCTTCTGCCATATCTGCACAACCAAAAGTTGTCGTTTATGTCAGACTGAAAACCAACAAATGGAGTGACCAAGGCATCTGCTATTTGGCCAATGAGAAGAACAACACCAGCCAGAGTTGGATCAAATCCAAGCACCAGGTGAAAGAAGACCAGTAAATAAGTGAACCACATGGAAGCGCAGATGTCATTTAATACATGACCTGTACCATAGGCTAATCTCAAGTAAACAGGTAATCTCCGTATTATCTCCACATAATCATCCGTCGAACTGCTCGTCCCAGGTTGCATCGTGACAGAGTGTTACTAAACATAAACAGTTGTCTTTAAGTGCGACTTACGTTCTTCCTCTTCTCGGGAGATATTTTGCAGGTGAAAGGAAAAGATTTCCAACACGCCAGACCTCGTAATAACTTGTGTTAATTAAAGAATGTGGTCGTGGCGTCATCAATGAGTCGAATATGTGTCATACACTTGTAAATCCTGAAAACGGAACATCGAGATGAAAAACCAACGCCACGATACGACAAGCTGTGTCATGTCCCGTCGTTTTCTTTTCAATAATATGCTATCGAAAATCAGACTGTTTATCAAAGTCAAAGGTGTTCGAGATACAGAAGGCAATAAGCAGACATCGGTTCTAACCTATCAAATTTCCTCTGAGCGTCATGTCACGTCATGTTGTGCCGCCACAATGCATCTTGCACCTATCACCAGCCATCAAGCTACCAATGACGTTATACGTTGACAGATATGAGCATTGAGCAATCATGTGATTCATTCTTTCAGTGCACACGCCTTTTACCGTTACAAAAGGGCGATAACGTAATTAAAGTAAAGAACTGTATTTCACCTGCCTTCTTCTTGCGATTTATACATTTTTATTCTGTCTTGCTTTAAAATACAACGCTATGCTCCTTTTTTTCAGATTTTCAGTATTAAGATACAGTTGAAACTTTACGTAAAATTTTACCTTGCAAAGTAAGACCAATTGAATAAGATAATAGCCTGTTTTTTTTTTCAGCTGAATTTCTTGTATGGCACATTTTTTTTCTATTTTTCTCTGTGGAGAAAAAAGAAAGATGAACTGTATCAAAAGTTCAACAAAAAAAAACATGCCTAATTTCTACAAAATAAGATAGCAAATAAATTTTTAACAACCACAAATGTTAGACCATGATCCAATTTATGTTTATAACACTCATCAGATACATATTTATTTTCATCTTTGTAAATATCAAACAAAAATGTAACAGCACGAGAATTATGTGCGTGTGACTTTGATTGCGGTTTAAAAAATTAAAAAATATATTGCAGTGTAATCAAACTTACCTAATTGAAAAAAAACCATTATAGTCTAAGATTAATTTATTGAGTCATATTAACAATATATGTAACAATATATGTATAAGCAGAATTTAAACTTACTGAAATATTACTGATAAATAAAACAAATTATGGCATTATACTAAGCATTATACTAAGACCGCTGCGAAAATTATACAATCTTTCTTCCTCATTCTATTCTTCTCAGCTTCACTGAGATACACATATATATATATATGTATATATATATATATATATATAATATACATTAATACATGGGAATATGAATATACACATATGAGGCAAAAAATATCTTCTGCACTTGTAGAAATACTTGGAATACAGACATTTTGTTTACACAAACATTTTGTCTACATTATATTGTGTTTGGATAACAACTTGATTATATAGTATAATTACATAATACAGCTTTAAAAATAATTGAAAATCAAGATATTTTAAAATCATTTCTAAATGTACATTATTACAAATTGGATGTACAGTAGCATTATTGAGTAACATTTGTATATTTATACGCTAAGAGATGATCTGGAATTGAGATAGAACTGATGGCCAGAGAAAAGGAAAGTGAGGACATAGATGCATACGGCAATCCAGCAATTGTATGCATTCTGCGTGTATCCTCGGTCTACTAATTTGTAGAATTCATCTGTTGTGGTAGTTTCCTTTAACTCTTTTAATGGAAGATCTTCCACCAGTGCTACGCTTCGGACGTAGAAAAATACTCCCATTAGAAGCTAAGGACAGAAAAGATCCAATAGACAAGATGTTCAACATGATATATACTAGCATGCAGCTTGCTAGTAGATTTGATTCAGTTAGATCCTATATTTAAGACCATCTTACATATAGTCTTAAGATGTCATGAATCAATTCGAATATTAATATTTTAATACATTCTTTAAGATGATCTTAAAATAAGAACTATGAATGCCTATAATATTATAGCAAATTGACATTAACTGTATCAGTATTAAGTTCATGTTCTGTCAATAATTGTATTCTGCAGAAAAAGATAGCTTTGCAACTGTTATATGACTCTTTGACACATTCATATTATGTGCCAAAATAATCAGTTCCAAACATAGAATAGTTTCAAGCTTCGGCTTCTGTGGTACATCTATAAAAATTAGTCAACGCTCAGTGTTAATATGATTAGTTATACACTTAAATCCAACAAGGCAAGAATCAATCATGTTAAAGAATCTTACAAGAGTTGCAAATATTTTTTTTTCTGTTAAATGCAGCTAATATATTATCTGGAAATTGGAACTGTATCGACAAGATTTGCAACGATTTACAAAAGCTGTTTTCATTGAATTTGTTTAGGAAGTTAACTCCAATATCAAGATGTTTCGTTTTTAAGTACGTAAATATATTTATAAAAACGTGATCTCTCTCTTACCAATTGGAATATGCCCCAAACAGACAACACTAAACCGCACAAAGCATACTTGGGCCCACAGATCTTCATTTTGGTTGACAAGATTGTTCGTACGAAGTGCAGGTCAAATTGAACTAAGCGACTTCGTCGTTGCTTTACACGAACCCTTGATGATTAGCCGTAAACGTGAACGAGGCGTCCCAGGTGCCGCGTTCGCTAATATTCTCAGCTGATTATCCGTCGTTACATTCGTTAATGGTATACCGCAATGAAGGTTTGTAATCATGTGACATCCAATGATCTCGACAAGTCCAGACAAGTCGCTTGAAGCGCCAGCGGTATCGATAAGTCGAGCGACTTATCGATATCTATGTCTTTCTTTCAAAATGAAATCTTTTTATTCGATCTACGTTATAACGACGAAAGAAAAAGGTCATTTTCATACTCTCTTCCAATTTATAAAAGATCACGAGCAATGTTTGATTTTTTTAGCGCTCGCTATTATTGGTATATTTTTTTAGATCATCCAATCGAAATTTTAGATCTAGAAGAATACACCAATAACAGCGAGCGCTCACTCAATTGTTGAGTAGTCCACTGAACGCGCCCATTCACTCAACTGTTGAGTCCGCTGAACGCGCTCTATGAGCTTTTTTATTTGATTGGCATATTCCATTAGATCTAAAAATATAAACCAAACAGCTTACTCGCTAGATACGCACTTTATCGCCACATCGTCAGACACGCACGGCCGCTCGGGCCGCGACGGACTTACGTATCGGACTGGATGTGATTCACGCACCTTACTGTTGTCCACCCTGATTCATGGGATCATGGTCGACCGATTGGGTTAGTTCGTGCTTCGTTTATTAGCTTATTTAATTAATATCGCGTATCTTACGAAAAGACGAGGCCGCTAGGCACCCCGGGCAGCTTGGGGAGGCTCGCGCGTCCCATGATCGCAAACGGACAGACGCGGATGGCGCGCAGCCGTCTCGGTCTTCTTGTGCGATTATGCGTGCGATGATAACGGTCTTCGTATTGGTGGGCCGTGTGCTTTTGACAGCTCCGGACAGTCCGGAGTAATTCCGCTCTGTTTAGTCGCACGCTTCTTCCTCCCCTCTTGCTCTCATTATGCTTTTCATATTTAAAACGTGACATCTCGATGAAGAGATGAAAGAGATGGAATTTACACGGATAGGGCCTGACGTGCCTCGGACGTTTTCGTTCGAAACGTGGGTGTGTTGCGAGCGTGACATTGGGTGCTTTTCTGCAAGGACACACGGAGACCCTGTGTAACACAGGGCATCGTTTCATCCTTGTTTAACACAACCAAACAACAAGGATGTAATGATTCACTGGGTCTGACTGTGTCCTTACTGGAAAGCACCCATTCTCGTTAATCTCCCCTCTCCTCCATCGTTGGGGCTTGATTTGTTGTAGTAAACAGCGAGGTCAATGCCAGGCGCATCGCGATGATCGAAAACTGCTTCGGCGGTTCAGGTCAGGTAAGAAAGAGATTACATGCAAAAGTGCATAATTTATAAATTTTTCAAATGTTTGTAGCTAGTTGTAGTGATGACTCATTTATGAAATATTTATCTCATAGCCACTCGCAGTACCCGGCCGAGTCCTGGTGGGTGAAGGGGTCCTGACAAAAATGTGCAGGAAAAAGCCCAAGCCTAGACAGTTCTTCTTGTTCAACGATATATTGGTCTATGGGAATATTGTGATTAATAAGAAAAAGGTATATACACAGAGAAGTGTTTATCTTTTATAGATAAAGCCTATAATATATAAAATTAATTTTTTAGCCAACATTAAGTCTGTTTATGTTGCTTAAAATTCTCAAAAATGTTTGCTCTTAAAGTAAGATAAATAGATATTTGAACATTGAAGAGAGAGAAAGCAAAGATGTATGAAAAGTATAAACAATGCAAACAGACCTATTGATACATAAAATAACAGTAATAATAGTGACTATAATGATAGTAATTTGTTTATAGTATAACAAGCAGCATATCATACCACTGGAAGAGGTAAAATTAGAGTCTCTAGCTGACGAGGGTCGTAAGTACATTACTTATAATTGTTATACTTATGCATATTATAATTCATATTTATTCTATTATGTTACACAGCTTTAGTCATAAATATTAAGCATATTCAATTCATTGTATTTTCTTGGAAAAGGTAATAAAAGAAATAGCAAAATATTAAAACTATTATAAAATTAAATATTTTTTATTAGTTTATTTTTTATCAGATATAGAACGCTTATGTCAATTTGTGAAGGTGCTTTATACTTATGGTTAAGGAAGTATATGGAATATTTAAAAAATATCTTCTACATACAACACAAACCCCTCTCTCTTCATTTTGTGACTCTTAACTGTCATATTGGCTAGGTATTACATGATAAAAAAAACTGCAATATAACAATACTGACTGAAATCTATTCTAATATTTTGTTTTTCTTTTTTTTTTTGTTAAATTGATAATTTTTGTTAAAAGTCACAGAAAACTTTCACATGCAAGATTTATTACAAAAAATAAATAAAAATTTCAAGATTTTATTGGTTTCTGTTTTTGAGAAATTATGCATTTACTATAGTTTTTTTAATTGTCACGTGGCATATGGATCAGTAATCAAATGAGATCGTATGTGCGTATTTAGAAAACGGTAGTATAGTATTGGACCATTATTTATAGAATATCGTAATGGATGGCTCATTAAAACAGTAACAAAGTCGTTTGCTGTTTATGCTGCTACTCCAACAGAAAAACAAGAATGGATGGCACATATCACAAAATGTATCGAAGATTTGTTAAGAAAAAGTAAGTAAAAGCCAAATTGTTAAAAATGTTTTTAAAATGATAAATTTCTAAATTTAAGTTTGCGACTATAAAATAAGATTGATTCTTTTTAATTTTTTTTTTGCTTCTTGATTTGTTTAGGTGGCAAAAAGCCTGTTGAGGTCCATGCAGCAGTTTGGGTGCCAGATAATGAAGCTACAATTTGTATGCACTGCAATAAAACACAATTCACAGTATTAAACAGACGAGTAATGATAAAATCATATTTCTATTATTTGAATGGATTCAGGTAATTGTTGAAAAAACTTAAACAATCACTCTTTATTTCAGCATCATTGTAGACAATGCGGAGCAGTAGTTTGTGGTCCATGCAGTAATAAAAAATTATTACTGCCTGGGCAAGGAAACGGAAAAGCTGTCAGAGTCTGTTTACAATGTTATGATGCCGCTAGTAAAATCAAGGCTATACCAACGACTGCTGTGGATAGCTTAAATAACAAAGACCCGCAACGCAATTCTGCTGACAGTTCAGGTGGGGATAGCTCTGGAGACGACGATGATGGAAATAAGGAAGAGAACCATGATGAGGTAAATTAGGTTTTTTTTTGTTTTGAATAAAGCTTCTTAACGTTCATGCAATTAACACACACGCAAATTTACTGTCAGAGTTGAAGATCTATTTACGTTATGTACACCATAGATTTTCAGCACTGACAATGAGTTTTGGAATACACACATTCATTTATTATTTCTAAAATGTGATACTTATACATATATATGTAATTTATAATTCAGGATTAAATATTGAAATAATTTTATTAAGAGTTGTATACTAACATTATCAAAATGAAGGTATATTTATGATACTGGCATAATTGCTAGCATTCAGTTCTCATTTATAATTATAAAACTAATGTATTTATATGTAATAAGAATTTTCCTTTTTTTACAGCCTAAATTTTATTCTACGCTCGGCCGATGAAAATGACTATATCATACGGATGAAGTACGAAAAAGATGCAAAAATTCTACATAAATATTTTTTTAAATCAATATCGAACTATATTAATAAAAATGTTGATAAAGAATGTTATTCAAGAAATATTTCTAAACAATTCATTAGGAAAATTGAAAGAGACAAGTGTGTATGATATAAAATTCTGCCAAAATTACGAAGCACATATTGTTATACATATATCTAATTTGCATTCTGCAATTAGCAATAAAAAAATATTACATTTTATTAATGCAAACTTAAAAAATGATAGAAATATATAGGTGATTAAAAGAACAAAAGTATCAATATTTTTTCTAAAGTACTAGAAATGCACAGTTAGAAATTAACAAATATTTGTAATTGGATAAAACAATTACATAATGTTCAATGTATAAGTTTATTATATATAACCACTAATTATTGTTGGATCAAAAATTTTTCCGACATTTTTCATGAATGTATACTAAGAATATATACACTAAGAATGCCGCCATTGTGCCTTTTTACATTATTGATCAATATCAGATATCTAAGTAAAGAACGTGTGACATTTAATGCAACATTTAGAATGCAAAGACTAATTTTTAATTGTATACATTTCTTTCTACCTATTATTGCAATATGTTATGATACAGTACATAGCACTCTAAACGTAATATCTGTGAATAAACTGTTGTACTGTTACAAATTTAAGAGTGTTATTTGATGAAATAGTAAACACCACATTATCTTTTGGATGTTAATGTAGCAACAAAAAGATAAAACTAGTTTATTAGAATTAATATACTGAGAATCTCGAGGGAAAAAAATGTTCAATTAATGTATAAACAATAAGAGAAAATGTTTTTAAATTTATATATAAGATACGAATGCCATTCCTTATCTAAATTGCAATGATACGAGAAACGGGATAAAGAAGGCGAAAATATATCATTTGTACAAAGAGACCATTTTTAAAAGTTTTATAAAAAAAATTATTTCATAACAATATATGTTAGTTTGTAACATGATAATATAATGATTCATGACTTTATCTCTATAACTATATAATATATATGAATACATGTTATAAAAAATATACAATAAGTTCCACAAAATAGAAAATGTTAATACCAACCCGTGTCTATTCTTTTCTTCTTGATATTATAATACTATAGCGCAGAAACTAATAAATTGAGCAAACTTAATTAGTATTTTCTATTGTTTGTTTTAATAATGGAAATCATTAATAAATTTTCCGTTTTGAAAAATTTATAGATGGAAAAATACACAAACAATAAAATATACAAATTGAATTTAAATTTTGTCCGTTCACCCTTTTGTTATTCAATTTCTTGGTCTATAAACTTATTTTCTAACTTCGCTGTAACAGAATTATTGCTGGCTTCCAGTATCTTCTTATAACGTTCCACTAAGTCACTAATGGACCGTCTTCTTGAATCATTTTCACGTTTTACAATTGTACCTTTATTATCGTCATTTAAAATTTGAACCTCTGTAAATTCATCCAATTCAGGTTTATTTACTTTGATCTCGCAATCAAGATCTTTCGCTTGCTGGGACGCAACTTTTGAGACATTTTGTTTTTTTGGAGTTAATTGTTCGGATGAATAAGAAACCTCTTCATTCCAATTGAAAAAACTTTTTGCTATAGCATCTAAATTAAAATCCGATGAACTAGGTATTTCTTCTATACTTGTAATGACAGAATTGGAATGTGCGGTAGATTGCAGAGATATCATGCTAGAATTAACTATATAAATAAAATTTTAATTTTATGTATATATACCATAATAAAACAACAACCAAGAAGTTGTTGAAAAGGCTATTTATTTTGTATAATAATGAAGTTGAATTAAATATATACTACTTTACAGAAATAATGTCGTTCTTATTATTGTAGTACAAAGACACATGTTTCAAATTGTGAAAAATAAATGTAAATAATATAAATAAAAAAGAATTAAAGAACAATGACGGTTTCTTTTAGTGATGTTTAGTTAATATTATTCCTTTCATAGCAAAATAATCGTCACCTAATTTTAGTAACTTCTTGGTTGTCCTATATACTTTCTTTTGATATAAATTATATAAAATTTCAATAACAATATTGCTTATAAATCAAATAAAATTTTTACAAACCTTTTATATTTTTCTTTTTGTGTGTAGCAAATAAGCGAGAGTATTTTCCTGTTGTTTTCTTACATAACTGGTTCATCTTAGGTGTCACAAAACGTAATTCTTGTTTCTCATTACTGTCTAACATAGTGTGACTGTTAATGTTAATATGTGATATGTATAAATTCGTTTTTAAATCTGGTGTGCAATTTCTATTGTGCCGCATATATCTCGAAAATAATGATTTGTGCGCAACTGTAAAAAAAAACGTGTGTGTGTGTATATATATATATATGTATATACATACATACACACACACACACACATATTACGCTAATTATTTGGCACAAAAATTATAATCTAAAATTGTTTCTTAAATTTTGATCTTACTTTCACCCGGAGTAAACTGCAATTGTGTATCGCTTTTTTGATTCGTGCAATTAGTATTAATTTTAATAAGAGGCGAGGGCATAAGAAGTACATTTTTTACAAAAGGTAAAATATTTTCCTCAGATATACGTTCTATACTTTTCACACACAAAACATTTGGCATCTCCTCTGTAGAACTTATCATGTTGGCCAAGAAGGTTTTAAATACATTGCACATAGATTTCATGTCTTCTGCACTTGCTTCCACTTGCAAGAGACACTGAGCCAGATCGACTAACTCATCCTTTCTCAGACTTTGATAAATTTGATATAACATCAAAGTAAATAGATGAATGAAATTCTGATAAACCAATCTATTATCATTATACAAATGATGAAGACAATGCTAAAAAAGGAAACCTAAATTAATAGAATATCTATATTAATAGAAAAAAAAAAAAAAATATATA